CGGGGTCCGGCAGCCCCCCGCAGCGCTCGCGGGGGGTGGCGATGGGGTAGCGCACGCTGCCGTCCGCCAGCCACCCCCCGTCACAGCAATCCAGCTGCGAGAACTTCCAGGCCGAGTAGAGCTGCCCCACTTTGGCGATGGCGGCCCCGTGGTTGCGGCACGCTTGGTTGGCTTCCTTGAAGTTCAAGTGGCCTCGGATGAAGTAGACCTGGCCTAGGGATGGACCATTGAGGTTGGAAAAGGCCTCTAAGACCATCAAGTTCAGCCCAACACCGTCACGACCACTAAACAATGTCCCAATGGATCATAAAGTCATAAGGTTGAGAAAGACACCCAAAGTCCTCAAGTCCGTGCCCACCAAACCATGTCCCAGTGGATCATGAAGGCATTAAGGCAGGGAAAGACCTCCAAGATCATCCAAGTCCAACCATCAACCCAATAGCATGGCCACTAAACCATGGCCAAATGGATCATAAAGTAGTTAAGGTTGGGAAAGACCCCCAAAATCACCCAGTCCAACCATTGACCCAACCCCACCATGCCCACCAAACCACATCCCAATGGATCATAAAGTCATTAAGGTAGGAAATTGGGGAAAGACCTCCAAGATCATCCAAGTCCAGCCATCAACCCAATACCACGGCCACTAAACCATGTCCCAGTGGATCATAAAGTCATCAAGGTTGGAAAGATCTCCAAGATCACCCAGTCCAACCATTAACCCAACACCACCATGACCACCAAACCATGCCCCAGTGGATCATGAAGTCATCAAGGTTGGAAAGGCCTCTAAGATCATCAACTCCATGCCCACCAAACCATGTTCCAGTGGATCATGAAGTCATTAAGGTTGGGAGAGACCTCCAAGATCACCCAGTCCAACCATTAACCCAACACCACCATGCCCACCAAACCATGTCCCAATGGATCATAATCATTAAGGTTGGAAAGACCTCCAAGATCATCCAGTCCAACCTCAACCCGACCCCACCATGGCTATAACCCATGTCCCCAAGTGTCACATCCACATGGTTTTTGGACCCCTCCATGGATGGGGACTCCACCACTGCCCTGGGCTGGACAGGGACATGGTGGGTGAGCAACCACCACCGATGACCTCCTGGGCACAACCCCAACCCAAGACAATTCTGGGTGGGCATTGGGGTTCGGTGCCACCGTGGCAGGGACAGGAAACCCCAGCAGTACCTTGAACAGCAGAGGTGAAGCAGAAGGCATCGAACCGGTCCCTCTGCTTGTCCCTGGCCCCATAGGTCCGGATGCCGGGCAGGAGGAGGCGGCCGCCGCAGGGCTCCCGTGAGTTGATGATGGGGTAGTGGACGGTGCCATCAAGGACCCAGCCCGCATTGCACCAGTCCAGACCCTCGGTCCAGGCTGTGGGGCAAGAGGGAGCTCAGCAGTGGCTCTTCCGCCCTCTCACAGCCACAGTGGTGTGTTTTGGGGGAGAAGAAGGGATTTTTTGGGGGGTGGACGCTTCACCTTTGTAGAGCTGCTGGTAGGTGGCGAGGCGGGCGTCCTGCTGCTCGCACGCTCGCTTGGCTTCGTGGTAGTTGAATTTGTAACGCCCGCTGCTGGGCTGGTAGGGGAAGACGACGCCTGGGGGATGGGACAGGAACAAGAACAGAGGGTGAAGGGGATGTAGTCCCCAAGGAGGCTTTGTCTGCTCATCCCCAAGGGTTTGGTGCTGAAGATGAGGCTGGGGCGTGGGGTGTCACGATGGGGGATGTGAGGGGTGGGGGCACAAAGCCATGGACCCCTCTGGAGCTCCCCTCTCCCAGATTCCTGGGGGATGCGGTGGGAATCACAGAAGAGTCATTCAGGTTGGAAAAGCCCTCTAAGACCAAGTCCAATGTCAACCCAACCCCACCATGGCCCCAAGTGTCACATCCAGGTGGGTTTTGGCCCCCGCCAGGGATGAAGACTCCACCACTGCCCTGGGCAGCCCCTGCCAGTGCTTGGCCACTCTTTCAGTAAAGTTCCAGGCCCTGTTAACCCTTTCAGGGCAGAAATCCCTCCCAGAATCCAACCTAAACCCCCGCTGGCACAACTTGAGGCCATTCCCTCTTGTCCCATCACCGATTTTATGGAAGAAGAGACCAACACCCCCCTTTTCTACCCCTTCCTTCCAGGGATGCAGCCCCTCCTCACCTTCGAGGTGCAGCGCCAGCGAAACGCTCTCGTCCTCCAGCCCGTTGACCAACTGGCAGCGGTAG